CACTGTGCCACTGGGGGCTCCCAGAGATAGATAGATAGATAGATAGATAGATAGATAGATAGATAGATAGATAGATAGATAGATAGATAGATAGATATCCAGTGAGCCTCACATTGTGTCTCCTTATTCCAAGTCTTAACATTGCCTGTTCTTATATTGTTTGTTTGTGGTTGTTTGTTTCTGTTTCCCTGGTTGCTGCTTCCTTTGTTTCATTTTGTTTGTCACAGAGCACTGTATTAAGAGGGAACTAATAGTAGATGATTTTAAAAGCAACAACAGGCGGCCTGACTAATAGTTACATTTAGGAAAGTAGAAACACTATCTTTTGGTAAATATATACTATTTTGTTTAGTTTTGTTTCCCCCTTTGTATGAAAGCAACTGCTTTCGCTTCCTTGAATGCAGCTAGGATGCCAAAGCTGAGAGCAGACCAAATATTAGGGAACCCAGACTCCACAATCCCTTGCTATTAGACATGCTGGAAGCTAAAGTCCAAAGTTAGTGGAAGGCTCATTTTTGATGTTGCATACAGAAATGTTGCCCATACTTCTTGTGTAGGAAAATGTTAGCTTGGATCAAACACACACTTTTCCCACTAGGATGATGGAATTACAGATGCTATCGTGATTCTGGAACCACTAAAGCAGTGGTTCTCAACCTGTGGGTCCCCAAGTGTTTTGGCCTACAACTTCCATAAATCCCAGCCAGTTTACCAGCTGTTATGATTTCTGGGAGTTGAAGGCTAAAACATCGGGAGACCCACAGGTTGAGAACCACTGCGCCAAAGGCTCTATTCATCATTTTATGCTAACTGGGACTATAATGTTAAATGGGCAGACTAGTTGCTTACAATCTTTTTGATAGAGGCCCCTGATTAAAACACCAGATTTGTAAAAGTAATTTTGTTTTTGTTTTTAAAGTGCATTAATGTAATTGTAGGCCGCACCTTCTGTCATCATCGTGCCTGCTGTGATGTGTGTATGCATCCTTTAACTACAATGGAAGTTTAGTTTAGCAATTGTTGATTTATTTACATGAAAATTTCAGTTGATTAAACTGAAATCTGATTAAAATTCATATTGAGCAACTAAGTTTTAGGATTAGTCCAAACTCTAGTTTTCATCCATGCAGATTTCTAGCTGAATATAATGCCAAAATTCCTTGACCATGGACCTTTGTCACTTTCTTTGCCACTATGTACCATGATTTTGGAAGAAAAGTTGTTTACTCCTCCATTTCATCTTCCTATTCCAGCCCTTCTTGAATGTCTCAACACTGGCATTTTTGGCCAGTGTTTGGTGGCACCTCCAAAGCAAAGGTTCCTAGATGAAATGAATGCTCTTGATCCTTTTCAGTCTGGTGTCCAGGCTGCTTGTGGAACAGATGCCATTGGTCGTGTTGGACAATCCTCACTAGAAATGGGCAGGGAAATAGGATTATGTTGGTATTGTTGGACCTCTCAGAACCTTTTAGTACCATTGACCATGGCATCCGCCTGGTCTGCCACATAGGATGGAAGCTATAATAGGGAAATAAGATTATGTTGGTACTGTTGGACCTCTCAGAACCTTTTAGTACCATTGACCATGGCATTTGCCTGGTCTGCCACATAGGATGGAAGCTATAATAGGGAAATAGGATTATGTTGGTTCTGTTGGACCTCTCAGAGCCTTTTAGTACCATTGACCATGGCATCCGCCTGGTCTGCCACATAGGATGGAAGCTGTAATAGGGAAATAGGATTATGTTGGTGCTGTTGGACCTCTCAGAACCTTTTAGTACCATTGACCATGGCATCCGCCTGGTCTGCCACATAAGATGGAAGCTCTAATACAGTTTGACAAATGGCTACCTTCCTTCTTGCAGAACTGAATCGAAAATATGTTATTTCAGGATTTTGAAGCATAGAGTATCTTGATATTCTCTTTTGTCCCACAATCTTATACTTGGAAATAGCAGAGAAAAATTGTCCAGAATATAGTATCATCCAGCTCTGCTTCTTTGTTCTTCCAAGACTGTTTCAATTCTAACCAGTGTCTAATGCCAGTAATAGATTTGGTGAGATCAAACAAACTGAAGTGTAACCCACACTAGATAGTTTAGGTAGGTAGATAAGTAGATACATAGATAAAAAGGAAGATAGGGGGTTCATTATGTATTGGGCAGAGTTATACTTTCCCTAAAGGTACAAGTTTGGTTGTTTTGGGATTTGTGCATAACCTAAAGCTAGAGCTCCAGTGCACCCATTACTGGAGATGTCAGGCCACGATGACTTACTTAAATCTTGTTTGGACAACTGTGGAAGACTCTGTCAGGCTGTATTTAACATGAAAGAGACACATCCCACCAGGAGAACATATGACTTAGATTGTAGAATCATAGAATCATAAAATAATAGAGTTGGAAGAGTCTAAATGAACCACTTCCTTGTTACTACAGCGGTTCTGGCTGCTACTCTCCTTTTGAGTATGATTCAAAATTCAGATTTAGTCCCAGGCTATTGGACAATCCGTATATTTCCATATAAAAGTACCAGATCCCAAGAGCTTCAGGATAATCACGTCACCTTCATCACATGCATGTCTAGTGAGGACACAAGACAAGGCCTGCCTGAAGGCTGCTTCTAGGCTCTTGAAGCCTCTTCCTTGGGAGGTTAAAATGCCCCCATCCTTGCTATCATTCGATTGAAAAGAAAACACTTTATTTTCTGTCAGGTTTTCAGAAAGTAATGAAATAATGTTGTTTGTTGCTTTATTCTCAGGGCCTTTTGTTCAGCTTCCTCTGTTAACCGGTTTTTAAACAAAAAGAGCATGAGAAAGAGCCAATTACATAATAGTCTGTTGTCTTAGCAAATCTGGTGATTTGTCTTCAATTGCCTGTATCTGAGCTGGTCGGTCAAACTCTACGTTGCCAGGTGATCCAATTAAGTCCCACTTATTGTGGAAGTCATCTGATTAAATAGATTTCCATATCCATTAGTGTAACTTTATTGTTCATCTTTCCTCTCTATTCCTCCCTCCCCCTTTCTGTGTTGAAGGGAGCAGAGCATTTTGCTTTGCTTTGCTTCCTTTTCAGTGCAAACACATCCATTTTTGTGGCGGCGGTTAGGCATTGCTTAGTACCACAGTGGTCCATGCTCTTGTTACATCCCGAATAGACTACTGCAACACACTCTACGTGGGGTGTTGCAAGTAAAGTGTGTTGGGTTTGCTTCCTTTTCAGTGCAAACACATCCATTTTTGTGGTGGTGGTTAGGCATTGCTCAGTACCACGGTGGTCCACGCTCTTGTGACATCCCGAATGGACTATTGCAACACACTCTACGTGGGATGTTACATGTAGAGTGTGTTGGGTTTGCTTCCTTTTCAGTGCAAAGACATCCATTTTTGTGGCGGCGGTTAGGCATTGCTTAGTACCACGGTGGTCCATGCTCTTGTTACATCCCGAATAGACTACTGCAACACACTCTACGTGGGATGTTGCATGTAGAGTGTGTTGGGTTTGCTTCCTTTTCAGTGCAAACACATCCATTTTTGTGGTGGCGGTTAGGCATTGCTTAGAACCATGGTGGTCCACGCTCTTGTGACATCCCGAATAGACTACTGCAACACACTCTGCTTGGGGTGTTGCACGTAGAGTGCGTTGGGTTTGCTTCCTTTTCAGTGCAAGCACATCCATTTTTGTGGTGGTGGTTAGGCATTGTTCAGTACCACAGTGGTTCATCTCCCTCCTGTATTTTAGAAAAAAAAATCAAGACATGGCTTGACTACTGCAACACACTCTGCTTGGGGTGTTGCACGTAGAGTGCGTTGGGTTTGCTTCCTTTTCAGTGCAAACACATCCATTTTTGTGGTGGCGGTTAGGCATTGCTCAGTACCACGGTGGTCCACGCTCTTGTGACATCCCGAATAGACTACTGCAACACACTCTACGTGGGATGTTGCATGTAGAGGGACCAAGCGTTTGATTAGTGAGCAGCAAGTAAAAGAAGATTTTAACACTTATGGCAATGCTTTGACCCAGACTGGATTTTAGACTCTGATTTTAATAGGCGTGTGATAATCCATTGTTATATTTATTGTTTTAATATTTTAATATTTTAATGTATTGTTGATTGTTTTATTATGATGACACCGTATGGTGTTTGTGCGGCTGCGCTGAGTCCCTCCTTGGGGATGAAAAGGGCAGGGTATAAATATAGGAAATAAATAAATAGAACTGCATGGCTTTGAAGCAATGTATTCCAAGTGAAACACCAGAGATCCTCTGTCGCAGCCGGAGAGCCAGGAGGTCTTGCAACATTCTTCCTCTCCCGCCTTCCTCCTAGTGACCCGTAGCCAAGAGAATTCAATTGTTAATTGTCTGGTCCCCACAGAGCAATAGTTTTAATGCAGTCGGAGCCTGAACAGAATGCAACCTCCTTTTCTCCCCCCAAGGCACCTTGGGTTGGCAAGAAATAGAAAGGCACTTAGCAAGCTGGGGCACAATAGAGGCCAGTGTTGGGGTCATCCCTAAATAAGTGGTAATATTGTCTGCAGTGTCGGCAGGCAGGAAGGCGTTCCTTGCAGACGGGAATTACTTACATTTCTGATGCGATGGTTAACATGGGCACATGAGAAAGGCGCTCTGTTTCCTCCTTCGACAGAACGCCTCACACGTACCCCCTGTCCTGCCCGCCTCTGTGGATTTTTTGACCTTTCCATTGTGAAAGCTCCTCCTGTTCATGTGCCACTTTTTCAGTGCTTGAGATGCAAAACTTCGGGTGTCACTCCGGTGAAACTGCTTTGCTAATTGCCACTCTGATGGAAAATAAAACAGGGACAGTAACATTAATAATTAATACTTTTGCAAGGCTGCAGCAATTTTCCGCATGGGGGATTTAAGTGCTTTAAGAAAACAATTACAAATTACACCTTGCAGACTGGCTACTGAGAATGAGGGGGTTGACAATGTAGGCTATTAATGTCCTGTCTCGGTCATTTTTTCTCTCTCTTGCTGTAGGCTCTGAAGATTGCTCTCGAAATTTCACCAGCTCAAATGGTACTATTGAATCCCCTGGATTTCCTGATAAATATCCTCACAATTTGGACTGTGCCTTCACCATCATGGCCAAGCCAAAGATGGAGATTATCCTTCAGTTTTTAACCTTTGACCTCGAGCATGACCCCTTGCAAGTTGGAGAGGGTGATTGCAAATATGATTGGCTGGACATCTGGGATGGTATTCCTCAAGGTAAGGATTAAAATGATGTATTGCCAATCCTGTCTTCTGTATCTGGCTATTGTCAAGCTAACAACATCAATTTTGTGCCTGAAGAATTCCATAAAGGTCATAAATTGCTAACACTCTACAGCTCTATCCAATCTCGTATATTGTTGCCTTGTTCTTCACAGAGGCCAGAAGTTAAATTGAACAGTGATGGAGTTCCCTTTTCTATTTCTCGTGCCAGCATCACACCCTTTCTGGTTCAATATAAATGTGTAGCTGATGTTACAATACAGTGAGACCTTTCAATAATCTGATTTACATAATCAGATTTTGGAGATCAGAAAGTAGTCTTTGAAATACTCAGAAGAAGAACAAAAGTATCCTGATCTCAGAAAAATCCTTTAATCAGAAAGGATAGATAGATAGATAGATAGATAGATAGATAGATAGATAGATAGATAGATAGGAGATATAGATATATAGCACTGGTTGCCTACTAGAAGGCATTGTATGTTGTTTTAAACACAATTTCGATGGAAAAGTGGCTGAAAAATGTTATTGAGCAATCTATCACAAACTTGCATGTCAATGAAACAACATATGCCTTAGTATAGATCAGGGATCCTCAAACTAAGGCCCGGGGGCTGGATGCGGCCCTCCAAGGTCATTTACCCGGCCCTCGCTCAGGGTCAACCTAAGTCTGAAACGGCTTGAAAGTACACAACAACAATGACAACAATCCTATCTCATGAGCCAAAAGCAGGTTCATACTTCCCATTGAGATACTAATAAGTTTATATTTGTTAAATTGTTCTTCATTTTAATTGTTGTATTGTTTTTAAGTGATTTTTGCACTACAAATAAGATATGTGCAGTGTGCATAGGAATTCATTCATTTTTTTTCAAATTATAATCCGTCCCTCCCAACAGTTTGAGGAACTGTGACCTGGCCCTCTGTTTAAAAAGTTTGTGGGCCCCTGGTATAGATAGATGCATTCTAGACTTCACTCAATAATAATAATAATAATAATCATCATCATCATCATCGAAATCCAGCATATAAATCACGTTTGCTGTGACATACTGTGCCTTTGTGTCAGTAAAATATAATAATAATAATAAAAAATTTTGGTCGTGTCAGGAGCGACTTGAGAAACTGCAAGTCACTTCTGGTGTGAGAGAATTGGCCGTCTGCATGGATGTTGCCCAGGGGACGCCTGGATGATTTGATGTTTTTATCATCCTTGTGGGAGGCTTCTCTCATGTCCACACATGAGGAGCTGGAGCTGATAGAGGGAGCTCATCCGCCTCTCCCCGGATTTGAACCTGCGACCTGTCAGTCTTCAGTCCTGCCGACACAGGGGTTTGACCCACTGCACCACCGGGGGCTCCATAATAATAATAATAATAATAATAATTGAAGTCCAGCATATAGATCACATTTGCCGTGACATACTGTGCTTTTGTGTCAGTAAAATAATAATAAAATAATAATAATAATAATAATAATAATAATAATAATAGAAATCCAGCATATAGATCACGTTTGCTGTGACATACTGTGCTTTTGTGTCAGTAAAATAATAATAATAGTAGTAGTAGTAGTAGTAGTAGTAGTAGTAGTAATAATAATAATAATAATAATTTATTTATATTCCACTCTGTCTCCCCAAAGGGACTCCAGGCGGATTCCAAACATAAAAGGCAAACATTCAGTGACCAAATACAACAACAGTACATCCATACTAACAAAATTTATACAACCCAACATATAAATATTGGGTTATATTATAACTTAACAAACTAAAATAAAATAAAAAGCACACCTTGTTATAACAAACATACAACAAAACATCAAACATCAAATGGAAACAATAATTTCCCATTTCTTTGGGGCAAATTGATTAATCATTGCTCAAGATATCTATTGAGCTGGTAGGGTGAGCAGGGCACGGATATAGATGGCAACTATTAATCAGAGGTATAATGGTAGTATTTATTTATTTATTTATTTACTTTGCTTATATACCGCTGTATCTCAAGCCCGAAGGCGACTCACAGCGGTTCACAAACAGTAGAAACAGTAGAAACAGCAGTGGTTCCATACAACATATAACAATTGACTTAACACATTATCCATAAATTACCAATAAGCAATTACAATGCACAATTATTACAAAAAACAACCGTACCCAATCTTCTCATCATCCAAGCGTAGTCCAGATTACCAACTACTATTCCTCCTCCTTGTAAGCCAGTGAGCTGTTTTTTGAAAGTGGGGAGGGAGGGAGCCATCTTTAACTCCTTAACACTCTGTAACATGGTTTTTGTTCCTGGGTTATAAATGTCATTTCCTAATTGGTTGTATCATAAAAAAAACATGGAAAAAGTTTATTAAACTCCAAAAACTTTGTTTTTGCAGGACGTCCTGCAACATATTTTGTTATAGTTTTTCAAAGTTTGTTGCATAGTGTAATTGCATACCTTTGCACTTAGACCTAAGCCCCACTAAGTTCAATAAGACTTAGTTCCATGGAAGGTATAAAGTACCACAGCTGAAATTATTAAGTTTCAACTGTTTGGCTCTTGTTACTGGTGTATTACTCTTGGTTGTGCAGCTAAAAGGATTTTCTGAAAGCAAGGAGGCAAGGTCACAGTGGTCTAACGAAGAGGTAAATGGTACTTTCTTTCTGTTTCTATTGTAGTGGGTCCCTTGATTGGCAGGTATTGTGGCACGAAAACCCCATCAGAGATCCGCTCAACGACTGGCATCCTGTCACTCACTTTCCACACCGATTTAGCAGTGGCTAAAGATGGCTTCTCGGCTCGCTATTACTTGGTCCAGCAGGAAGTGCCAGAGAGTAAGTAGCAAAGTTCTGGGCGTTCCCATATATTCCAAAAACGTTGCCAGGGTTGACTGATGTTTCTGAAATCTTCACGGCTGAGCACAACTGCAACACTGAGGTGGCGATGATGTGGAAATCAATATTCACATTATTTTTAGTTTTGACAGTTTCAGTTCCAGTGTTTGAATTTCAAGGTATAGCTCAGTGGTCCCCTCCCAAATACGTTACATCGCAAATGTGAAGTTTTGTCATCAACAACCTTCAAACTTCCAGTGCTAGATTGCAAAATTGCTGTGGAAAAATCTAAAGCCAACCCTGTAATTAAAAATTCTTGAAAATAGTTGTCTTAAGATCTTTTTTCAGCCTCCAAATTCAAGGTTTTATAGAAGAGTTGGGAGTTGTAGAAAGAACCATGAATATGTAATATTACCACTTGTCTGTTCTGCTTGTGAGGGATATTTTGTCGCTTTCTTTCTGTATTGTATGCCATTTCACAGCTTTTGCAGGGTGTTTAGATAGTAAGTGGTTTCGAAGTGGAATTTCGAATTAACCCAGCAGTGGATCTTCTACATTCGCCAGCACCAAGATATGAAAATGGCCTCTAGTCAAAGTCTCATCCAGTCTGAGGGAGGCAGCTACCTTAGGGATCAGATGGTGGTGTTGGAGGATAAGGCAGTGTGTGTGGTATAGACAACCAGCATCCCTTAAGCCAGTGATGAGATATTGTGGTGCGTTGGGGTGCTCCATGTCCTGCCCACAGGCTTCCATTGCTGGATGATATCAATAATTTGAGAGAACACCTCCTACACCAGGAACATAGTCACACAAAGTTGAAACTACCAAAGATACATCTACACTGACCACTTAAGTCAGTTTCAAACTGGTATTATGAAAGCGGTTTTGCTATGTGGATATTTATTGTGTCAGGCAACCGAACAGTTGTATTACATTTTTGACAGAACAAACAAACAAACATACAAAAGACACAGAGTTTGCAAGCTTGGTAGTTGGTTAAATGTCCTTTGACCAGTATCTGGCCACTTGGAGTGCTTCTGGTGTTGCCGCAAGGAGGTCCTCCATTGTGCATGTGGCAGGGCTCAGGTTGCATTGCAGCAGGTGGTCGGTGGTTTGCTCCTCTCCGCACTCGCATGTTGTGGATTCCACCTTGTAGCCCCATGTCTGAAGGTTGGCTCTTTATCTCGTGGTGCCAGAGCGGAGTCTGTTCAGCGCCTTCCAAGTTGCCCAGTTTTCTGTGTGCCCAGGAGGGAGTCTCTCATTGGGTATCAGCCATTGATTGAGGCTCTGGGTTTGAGCCTGCCACTTTTGGACTCTCGCTTGCTGAGGTGTTTCAGCTAGTGTCTCTGTAGATCTTAGAAAACTATTTCTTGATTTAAGTCGTTGGTGTGCTGGCTGATGCCCAAACATGGGATGAGCTGGAGATGTCTCTGCCTTGGTCCTTTCACTATTGGCTTGCTGTGTGGATGATTACATAGGAAATCATGGAAGTGGCCTAAATGGTGATTTCACAAATTCCAGAAACTGGCATCAGACTGGTTCCAGGATCCTCAGAGCACACATTGGGTGTCTGCACAGCAGTTGACATTCTGCGAAACCGATATTTCCCTTCAATGTGGTTTACGTTGCAGCACGCTGATGCACATTAAAGGTTTTCTTTTGGACTTTCCCCTAACTTTGTTTTGTTGGCTTAAAGCCCTTAAAGCATGCTGTAGTACACTTTTGTAGCACCCATCATTCTAACTGCTGCAATTCGAAGTTAACTTTGAACTGCATTAAATGGTCAGTGAGGATGGGGCCTAGGTTTGTCTTTTCTTGCTCAGGGGAAGAAGAACAGAGCAATGAAGCTTGAAGCTCCACTTCTAAGTCCTAATAGGGATTTGTCTTCAAGACTTGCAACTGCCGCTGGAAGCTTTTGTTTTTCTACACTCAGAAAAAAGCAAAGCTCAGACCAAAAGCCAGGCTTACAAAAGAGTGTTACACTTGTAAGCCAGGTTGACAGAGTGCAGCTAAATGCCTTTGGCCATGCTCATGTAGCTTCCTCAAGGGAAGGATGAATGGGCTGACATCACTAACTTGATAGAAACACACTGATGAATGCACACCGACAGCATGGTTTTCTAGTGTGGAGAACAAGTGTACGAAGGATATTTGGAAAGGACAAAGGGGGATTGTGAGATGGATTCAGACCATTCATGAGCTGGAAATTCTCTCCTGCCTTAAGGTAGACAACTATCATCAAATGTAGTGGAAGACGATCACTGAATTCAAATTCAGTTGCCACTCTAGGTGACTTCTGAATGTGAAATAAGTGTCTATACTTGCACATGTGTGTATATGTAGCCATCTCTGGGCCAAGATATCTTGGCCCAACAAGTTAGACAGCTTTTGAAAAATTATGTCTGTGAGTTTCTCTAAGCACTAAGAGTCAAATAACTTTAAAAGTTCCAGATATAACAAGCAGACAGCATAGGAAAGAGCCTGTTCATGCCCAGAGTAGAGTGTTGGAAATTGAAGACAAGACTAAATGATCATTTGCTCTGAGTTGTTGTAGGTTTTTTTTGGGGTATATGGCCATGTTCTAGAGGCATTCTCTCCTGACGTTTCACCTGCATCTATGGCAAGCATCCTCAGAGGTTGTGAGGTCTTTTGGAACTAGGAAAATTGGGTTTATATATCTGTGGAATGACCAGGGTGGGACAAAGAACTCTTATCTGTTGGAGCTAGGCGTGAATGTTTCAACTGTCCACCTTGATTAGCATTTGATGGCCTGGCAGTTGTTTGATGTGGCTTGTTAGTGTGTGGGGCAATCTTTTGCTGAGTGGTGATTAGATGTCCTTGTTATTTCCTTTCTGTTGTTTTTCTGATGAACCAACCTAGACACAGCATATTATTTGAGAACACAGAAATGTTGGACCATTCTAACAACCACCATGTCAGACTACACAGAGAAGCCATTAAAACCCACAACATGTGGACAATTTCAACAGAAAGGAGGAAACCATGAAAATGAACACAAGCTGGCTACCAGTATTTAAAAAAACCTGTAAAATTTCAACAGCAAAACAGAGAGGAAACAATCAGGGACAGCTTATCACCTCTCAAAAGATTGCCCCAGGTACTGCCAGGCCATCAAATGCTAATCAAGGTGGTCAGTTGAAATATTTACACCTAGCTCCAACAGACAAGAGTTCTTTGTTCCCCCCTGATCATTCCACAGATATATAAACCCAATTTTCCTAGTTTCCTCACTACCTCTGAGGATGCTTGCCATAGATGCAAGGGAAACGTCAGGAGAGAATGCCTCTAGAACATGGCCATATAGCCCGAAAAAAACCTACAACAACTCAGTGATTCTGGCCATGAAAGCCTTCGACAATACATTGAACATTTGCTCTGATCCGACAAAGAAATTCTACTCTTCCAACCTCCATATATCTTTACCTTCAAGTGATTCTATTTCCTGTCTTTACTCCCACGAGCAAAGCAAGCAAGCATAACCAACATAGATGTTGCAGGGAAAAACTAATTATACAGATGATTTGAGAATGAACTATGTATGTTGCAAAATAATAATTTTATTCCACATGCAAAGTACCAGTACTTCATTTTGCATTAATGGCTTTTTGTACAGAAATATCCACTCCTTGGCTTGCTCTAGAAAATTACAAGGCAAGAAAGGTTTGCATCATGAGTGGTGGCAAAGTTGAGGAGGAGTTTCCTAGGATACCACATGTTAGCTTTTTCCGTTCTCTTGGCTTTTCCTAGGTCCGTCTCTTATCACAGATACTTTTATTTGATAGGAAGTAGGGGAGGCAATTTAGTGGCACTGCTTTTACATTGGGATGGAACATGGGAGGGTTAAAGACTCCTCTTTTCCTTTGCTCTCTCTAGACTTCCAGTGCAACAGTCCACTGGGCATGGAATCGGGCCGAATCTCTAACGAACAGATCACGGCCTCCTCCACTTACTCCGATGGCAGGTGGACCCCACAGCAGAGCCGTCTCAACAGTGATGACAATGGATGGACTCCCAATGTGGACAGCAACAAGGAATTCCTGCAGGTATTTTCAGTTCCTAATATAACAGCGGTCGATAGCTTAGAAGAGACACCAACCCAATTTGAAAACGCTGGGACTGAAGCCATCCTATCAGGCTTAGCAATAGTTGTGTTGCCAGATAACTGCTGTGCTGTGTGATGTTGGAGTCATTTTTGCCAAGTCCCTTTATTTTGCCCCCCAGCATCCTCCTCTGTGAAAGGCTTGGCTTGGCATGGCAGGAGTGAGCACGCTGTGTGTCCATGGAAGCAGCCTTGGCAGGGCAATGTTTGGGAGACAAGCGCCTTTTTAGCTTAGACACATAGCTTGTCTTGGCAAAGGCACAGCCACTGTCTCCAGGCCTTCGGGTTCCTTCCCCCAACTCCCCTCCTGAGCCACTCACACAAACACTTTACCCTTGAACCAAACTGATTTATCACACTGTGCAATTGACCCCAGAACATGAGGCTTGTAGAAGCTTCTGTTGCTCTTGTTGCCTGCTGGGACCCAGCAGGAGCTGTTTGAACTGTGGATTGGCAGAGGCAGTGCGACTCTGGTCTTCATGAACTGAAGGCAGCCCTGCCGGACCATTAACATTCCTGCAGAAGTTGTAGCTTGACCCGGTGCCCTCGCCTTCCCCCCAGTCTTGATGGACTTTCCAGAAGGCCAAGAGGGGGAGCAGCCTGCCACTTATGGGCTCTTTTGGTTCTAAATAGTGAGTGAGTTGGGACTCTTTTCCTGCATTGGGCGAGTACAGCTAGAATAATATTTATTCTGCTGGAGAACTGGTGATGCGTACCAGCAGCTGGGAATTCCAGCAGGAAAGTATGAAGGGGAAAGGCCTCCGCAGGGGCTACACAGGACTTGCTCATGTCAGCAAAGAGTTGTGGAGCGGCATGTGCTAAAGGACGTTCAACACAAGAAGTCCTGGGAGGTCAAGGCCTGCAACAGATGTCCAATTCCTCATAGCACGGTTACCAGGCAAGCATGCTGGTGTGATCAACATTACAAAGAAATCACTTAGCATGGACTGGACTATCATGACTTAATCTTATGTGTGAAAGACCTCGACCCTCCATCAATGTGTGTCAGCCTTTGTTCTACCAAAAATGATTTTGATAGCCATTCTGTTGCTTGGGTTTTGGTTTTATTTGAGTTTTATAATGTCAGGTCAAAAGGTTCAAAGTCTGTTAACTTGACTCTGTTGTTTTGGTTCATAGATTAGGAAAATTACTTATTTCTTAGACCACAGAATCTGCTGGGATAGTAGCATGCTGGGGAGGAGCCTGCTAGAATCAGGAAAAATGTCTTTTCAGACTAAGATCTGTCAGTATTTCCTTACAACAAACTGTGCAAAACCTTGAGGGTGGAGTGGGAGGTTCCACTTTTCTTCCAACCCAGACCTTTTTTATACTTACTTACTTACTTAGGCGATCCCTCGTTGGCCGAGTAGGATAGTCTTCCAGGATCAGTATTCTTGTGGGTCCGTAGGTGACTGTGGAGCCCTATTCCTGATATGCATCTTCTCCCACAGTGAGGACATTGGTTTTCAGGTGGAAGGCGGTCCCGGACGGGGTTGACTTGATGCGCCTTCCTCTTGGCACGTTTCTCTCTTTCGCCCTCCATTCATGCCTCTTCAAATTCTGCAGCACTGCTGGTCACAGCTGACCTCCAGCTGGAGCACTCAAAGGCCAGGTCTTCCCAGTTCTCAGTGTCTATGCCAGAGTTTTTAAGGTTGCCTTTGAGCCCATCTTTAAATCTCTTTTCCTATCCTCCAACATTCCGTTTTCTGTTTTCCTTTTTTATAGTCCTTTAATTGGCCCTGGAATTGAGTGGCCCCAGTCCCCTAGTAGGGCCATTGCTGAGACTGATCCTTGTACTATAGAATTCAGCCCCATTTTTCCCTTCTCCTTGGCCCAGCCCGTTCCCAATAGTCCAGGCCCCTTAATCTTTGCCCCTGCCAGCTTACCCTGCATGAAGAAAAGAGCGGAACTGGTTTTAAATGGATTTTAATGTATATGTTGTGTTAACAGTTGATGCCTATGTTTTTGTTTTATATTGTATGTTTTTGTATTATTTTGCATATGTGGAAACCACTCTGAGTCCCCTAGGGGAGCTAGGGTGGTATATAAATAAAGTTTTATTATTATTATTTTACTGACACAAAAGCACAGTATGTCACAGCAAACGAGATCTCTATGCTGGATTTCGTATCACAAAATCACAAGTCAAGCACTTCCCAAGTGTCTAGGACTGTGATATATTTTCGAATGATGCGCACAGATCCAAGTAAGGTGGCCTTCTGCAGTTGACAGATCGTGATTTTGTCAATGTTTATTGTTTCCAAATGCCAGCTGAGATCTTTTGGCATGGCATCCAGTGCGCCAATGACCACTAGGACCACCTGTACTGATTTATGCCAGAGCCTTTGCAGTTCGATTTTGAGGTCTTGATAGCGGCTGAGTTTTTCCTGTTGTTTTTCTTCAATGCAACTGTCACCTGGAATGGCAACTTCAATAATCCAGACTTTTTCTTTTCCACAATCGTGATGTCTGGTATATTGTGTTCCAAAACTTTGTCAGTCTGGATTCGAAAGTCCCACAGTATTTTTGCATGTTCATTTTCCATGACCTTTGCAGGTTTATGATCCCACCAATTCTTTACTGCTGGCAGGTGATATTATTATTATTATTATTATTATTTTTATTATTATTATGGCACTTTGGTAGAGGAACACATAGCCTGCTTCCATTCAAATTACTTCCACTCAGATGCATATTTGTTTGTTTGTTTGATTGTGGCATCCTGTTAAGACAGGAACACAACTGTCCTGTGGACTCTTTGGGAATACACTAAGGATTGGATCCCAGATATGTTTACAGTTCATTCTGATGAGGCAAAAAAGAGAAAGGGAAAAGGAGTGGGTAAGCAATTCCAAAATGTGCTACTCTCCTTCAATTATAAGAACTGCAATAAACCCAGGCAGACTGAAAACATTTCCTTCTATGGCTCACACACTGCTATATCTAGGAATGTTAACTCAGCTGGTCTTTAACTTGATCCTATTAAGTTCTTACACTGGAACAGAGCTTAGATGGAATAGGCAACTCTGAACATGGCCAGTGGCAAAAGCTACAGCTGTGTCTCAGTGATGTGCTGAAAGTGAAATGCTGTCATGCTCATTTATACCAGCTGAGCACTCGATCCTCAGGTCTGCTTTCAGACATATCTTCCTCAGAGCAGCTGTATGCCCGGTGTGGTGAGTCCTCAGGAGCCTCTGAGTCCAATGTGCTACCATTGTGTGCTGTCATGTTGGTGGCTCTTAGAGATCCATTGTGGTTGGGCCAGAAGGCAAAATGGGTCCATGATCCTATGAATGATGTGCTCATGGAGCAGGTTTTATGTCAAGAGCCTCCTTGTTCTGAATGGCACCCTAGGTCTGAACCTGCCTCAGGAGTTTTTGTATTTGACAATACTGTAACTGTTCCATCACAGGAAGATCCATTATATTGCTGATCTTGGAAGTCTCTGCCCATTTTTCTCTCATACTTGTCCCATTACTGGTAGGTGGATCTCCGCTTTCTCACAGTGCTGACAGCCATTGCGACACAAGGTGCCATCTCCAGAGAAACACAGACTGGGTATTATGTTCGGACGTATAAACTAGAGGTCAGCACAAATGGCGAGGACTGGATGATGTACCGGCATGGCAAAAACCACAAAGTAAGTGTTTTCTTCTTTGCAATAATTCTGAATCACAGAACATTTTGTTTGCTGGCGAGGTGAGAGGCTTAAATCATTTGGAGCCTATATAAAGGGCCCCAGTACTTTTCTGTTTGCTGCCAAGACACAAAACATGGGGCCTGCCCACCCCCACCCAAGCTATCTTTCATATCTCCTGAAAGATAAGGAGAAAAGTGTTCCTTGGAAAACTTGGCTGCCGTTGTGCCTTGCTCTGTGGAGGGAGAGCCTGCTGTATGCCTTTTGACTGCAAATGAAGGAGAAAATGTTTTTTGCAAGCCCGTGTTTTTGCCATACAAGATTCATTGAGCATTTATGGCCTGAGCCTCGTCCACATGCTGGGTTAACAATCACAAAACCACATGAAACTGCAGTTTAGGAGTTACTGGGGCCTAGAAAATGAAAGGGCACAAATCCGGAGAGGGGATCACAATGTCCTAGAGAATAAAGCCCAACGATAAATAATGAGGAGCAGTTAGGTTTGTCAGGGAGAGGGGATCGGTAGTCTCAGCAGTGGTTGGCAGTGATGCATTGAGCACTCTGTGCTTGGGCCTTGCGCTGTCTATAAATATGCCAGTGTTGACCCGTGTTGATCCCTTCACCTCTGAATGCATAGTGTGTGCTTGGTGGAAGTGGGGAGATTGTGTTCTGGGCAGGTGTGCGAGAAAGTGGGGGGGAAGAGGGGAGAGACGGGGCTGTGTATATGGAGTGCAGCTGAGTATAATAAAGTCATTGCCGCTCCTGGGAAGGTAACAGAGCTGTCAGTCATCTGGGCTTTCCTTGTGAAGGCACTTCTGAACCGACCCTCTGTGCTTTGCTGCAGAATACTGTGGAACAGGGATTCTTTAACACTGTCTCATCAAACCACGTTAAGCCAAGAGATGAGGATGGGGGAGAATGTGTTTTGAAAAGGGTCCCTGACTAAAGTCAATGGCTCTGGATGCAGAGGGAAGGTATGATCTTCTTCCCTGCCTGGCAGTCCTCCCTAAAGGAAATACTAGCAAGTGTTAGGAGACTTGAGAGCCTCTCTTTTGTTCCTCTCAAACACTGATGTTCCTTTGCTATGTCCAAGGAAAGTGGCAAGTAGCTCCGAACTGCAGCGCTTGCTGTCTCTCTTTCTGGGGAGTTTTCCTCTGTCCCCAGCTATATCAGGGCAGCGATTCCTGCTCAGCTACATTAGTATTTATCATGTCAGGAGCAAAACAAAACAGTTGTAATGCATTAAAAACAAACAAACAAAACACAAACTTTGCAGACTTGGTATTCTATTAAATGTCCTTTGACCAGTATCTGGCCACTTGGAGTGCTTCTAGTGTTGCTGCAAGGAGGTCCTCCATTGAGCATGTGGCAAGGCTCAGGTTGCATTGCAGCAGGTGCTCAATGGTTTGCTCTTCTCCACACTCGCATGTCGTGGATTCCACTTTGTAGCCCCATTTCTTAAGGTTGGCTCTGCATCTTGTGGTGCCAGAGAGCAGTCTGTTCGGCGCCTTCCAAGTCGCCCAGTCTTCTGTGTGCCTAGGAGGGAGTCTCTCATTTAATATCAGCCATTGATTGAGGTTCTGGGTTTGAGCCTGCCACTTTTGGACTCTCGCTTGCTGAAGTGTTCCAGCGAGTGTCTCTGTAGATGTTAGAAAATTATTTCTTGATTTAAGTCATTGGCGTGCTGGCTGACACCCAAATGGGGTGGGCTGGAGATGTCACTGCCTTGGTCCTTTCTCTATTGGCAAGTCGCTTCTGGTCGCTTCTGGAGTGAGAGAATCAGCTGCCTACGAAGACATTGCCCAGGGGATGCCTGGATGTCTTGCAATCCTGCGGGGAGGCTTAGATACAATGATGGCATAGCTGCTGCCACATTGGAAGATGTCTTGGCTTAGTCAGATTGATTCCTCTAATCCTAAAACACCAATTCTGAGTGGCAGCAGAACCAGCATTTTAGGATGTGAGACAGGACTTCCTAGTGATCTCTTATCCAAGGGGTGGTTGGGACTGTTTCTGAAATAAGACAAAATCATGCTTTTTTCAGGATACTATGATGATAGGCAGACAAAGGAGGGCCACAGCTCTAAAAGCTAAAGAGCAATTTTTCCTAGTCGGGGATAGTTTTGCTTGAGGGATTGTGGCTTAAACAACTGTGAGTTCTACATCATATTTGTGATCTATTTTCAGTTCTGGGTTGTTGTAGGTTTTTTTGGGCTATGTGGCCATGTTCTAGAGGCATTCTCTCCTGACGTTTCTCCTGCATCTATGGCAAGCATCCTCAGAGGTAGTGAGGTTTTCAGTTCTGTTGTGTTTCCATATACCTGTGCATCATCTTAACTATACTAGTTGCTGAAATTCTTTTTGATACTCTCAGTTTAGAAATGTACAACACTGAGAAGCTAGGTAGCTTTGGGCTGGACAGGAGCTCTCCAGACAATGCGATGATACTATGGACATGGGGATGTGTGAATCAGACCCCTTTGGACTCCAATGTTCCTGGACTGAGTGGGAGCATCTGAAGAAGGAATACAGCAATTCTACTGAATGCTGTTGCATTCATTGAGACAAACAGGATCCTTCACAGGTAGTGGCAAGACCATAACTAGACAGAGGCAAATGCAGTTGTAGTCTCTTTTCAGACCTGGTTGATGTGGAAAGGGAGGATTAGCTGACATGTTCCTGGGTTCCCTTTGGTCTTCCCTCGAGCCTTATAATCCCCACCCATTTAAACTATAAGCCACTGAATCAGAGTTTGGATTTGCTATTTTTCACCTACCCAGCATGACCAATGACTGTGCTAGCTGGGGGCATTTGGGACTTCTAATCCATAAATCAACTTTTTCAAGCTTTGTCCTAAGCCCACTTGACTTTGTTTCGCCTTGGTTACACTTAGGAAGCCAAGCATTTTTCAGTCTTGCTATGGAAAAAAAAATCAAAGAAAATTAAAAATCCTTAGAGCTCTCAGCAGCAGTCCTTTAGATGAATCTGAGCCAAGTTTCATCTTCCAGCAGGATTCAGAGAGAGATGATTCATGTGAGATTATATCTGCAGTGTTCACGGATCTGGAGAACAGTTAAAAATCATGTGCAGGAAGAAAAGGCAGTAAATTACACGAGATTGTCACTTATAGGAAATTTGCCATTCACAGCAAACTGAGATGTGAGGTGGATTTTGATAAGGCCTTCTTGTCACATCTGCTTCTCTTCTGTTAAAGCCATTTAGCATGATAGTCTAGTGGTCCTCATCTGGAGCAAATAGCATCGGAGGAGCAGCAGCAGCAGGCAAGGCAGTGGCTGTTTGTGCCAATCCATCCCAACAAAGCAATACATCATTTCCTATAATACAGAAATATTACTCCCTCCCCCATCCCCTCAAAAAAGTGACTTGTCCATACAGCAGTCGGACCATTTGTCATGACCAAATCAGGAAAATTATTTTTTTGGGAGTACAGTTATCTCAGAAAACATTAACTAATGAAATCAGTGGCCATACTGATACAATGGTTCTCAACCTTCCTAATGCCGCCACCCCTTAATACAGCTCCTCATGTTGTGGTGACCCCCAACCATAACCCTAACATTATGAATCACCATGTAAATAATGATCTTCAGGATGTGTTTTCATTCACTGGAGCAAATTTGGCCGAAATACCCGGTATGCCCAAATTTGAAGACTGGTGGGATTGATTTTGTCATTTGGGAGTTGTAGTTGCTGGGATTTATAGTTAACATGTAAACAAAGAGCATTCTGAACCCCACCAACAATGGAATTGAACCAAAGTTGGCACAGAGAACTCCCATGACCAACAGAAAATACTGGAAGGGTTTGGTGGGCATTGACCTTGAGTTTGGGAGTTGTAGTTCGCTTACATCCAGAGAGCACTGTGGGCTCAAACAATGATGGATCTGGATCAAACTTGGCACAGATACCCAATATGCCCAAACTTGAATACTGATGGGGTTTGGGGAAAATAGACTTTGACATTTGGGAGACTAGGACATGAAATAATGGCTTCAAACTACAAGAAAGGAGATTCCATCTGAACATGAGGAAGAACTTCATGACTGTGAGAGCCGTTCAGCAGTGGAATTCTCTGCCCTGGAGTGTGGTGGAGGCTCCTTCTTTGGAAGCTTTTAAACAGAGGCTGGATGGCCATCTGTCAGGGGTGATTTGAATGCAATATTCCTGCTTCTTGGCAGGGGGTTGGACTGGATGGCCCATGAAGTCTCTTCTAACTCGTTGATTCTATGATTCTATGAGTTGTACTTGCTGGGATTTATAGTTCACCTACAATCAAGGAGCATTCTGAACCCCACCAATGATAGAATTGGGCCAAACTTCCCACACAGAACCCCCATGACCAACAGAAAATACTGTGTTTTCTGATGATTTTGGCGACCCCTCTGACACCCCTTCGCGACCTCTCCAGGGGTCCCGACCCCCAGGTTGAGAAACACTGGATTAAGAGGATTTGTGGATTCACATTCAAAAAAGTAACTATAGGCAGTCCCCAAGATGCAAACAAGATAGGTTCTGTAGATTTTTCTTAAGTTGAATTTATATGTAAGTTAGAACAGGTACATTTTTAAGTGTATTTTCAGCTGTATAAGTTTTGGCTATCAAAGGGAAGGGTAAACAACCCGTGATGTTTGTTTTGCTGTTCAGAAGATTTCGCCTCACTTTCTGTCCTTGTGTTAATTGGATTTTGGAAAAATGGCTTGTTGTGGAAGCAAAGATTGACTATGATGCTTCAACAGAGACACCCCTTCCCCATGATATCTCTTTAAGGAGTGAATTTCCTTTCCAAGAGGTGGATTTCTTTCACTTCCTGTTGTCTCACCCCCATTTTTTAACTATCAGTTGTTTGTAAATCAGATGTTTGCAACTCGGGGACTACCTATATTCCTAAGTCTGCTGGCCTCAGCCCCACTTGTAATCTACTGGTTCCACTGACTCCACTACCAGCCAATATGTATTAAAACAGTTTGAAACAGGAATCCCTG